ATAATAATAATAATAATGATAATAATAATAATAATAATAATAATAATAATAATAATAATAATAATAATAATAATAATGATAATAATAATAATAAAGGTGATGATAATAACAATGGCTTTACTAAAAATTATTCTGAGAACAGGCCTGTAAGCATATTAAAAGTAATAAGAGAAGTTCCAGCAAGAAAATCAGAAGTTAACCAACAAACGCGTAGCTTTACTACACTACTTCCTAATATTATGGGTAATATAAAACGTAAAACAATAATAAAATCTAGTACAATTATGACAACTGCGGAGAAAAAATCAGCTGAGGAAATGTGGGAAGAATTTCAGGATAAAGGCATTGGAGCATTATCCGACGATTTTATCAAACTTTTTTTTTCATTAGAATCTCGTGCCGCAGAAGTTAAACAATTACCAAGTCGTACTGAAAAACAATGGGGTTCTTTTAGTAAAAAAGGGTTTCAAAGTATATACGTGGAGCCTTTGTCAGAAATCAAAAATAATGAAAAAAAATCTTTATTAGTAAAAACTTCATCTTCAATGAAAAATACTAATAATGATAATGAAGATGGTTCTTCAAATGATCTTGTCAGAAATGATTCTTTAAGACAAACAGTTGCTTGGGATAGTTTTTCTGAAAAAGGTTTTGAAGAATCAGATGTTTTATCTCTAGTTTCATCACTTGGTCCACCAGGAACTTTAGTCAGGGAAAATGATGTTGATAAGGAAAATTATAATGATGGCGGTGATGATGATAACAAACAATCCTTTGGGAATGTAAAAAAATCTATATTACGTGGTGGTAGCTTAACAAGTAGTTTTAGAGGTAAAAAGAAATTTGTTAAGTTTCGTTCCTTAAGAAGAACTAGATCTCTTAGTCCAATCAAAAAGTTAATTGCTTTAGATTTAGAAGAAGATTGGGAGGATTGGGGTATCATTGATAGAAGAGAGGATTTGCCTATTACAACTCATTTGGCAATTGAAACAATTGATGAAATCTTTCCTTATGTATGGATGGAAACAACTGTTGAAGATGAGGGTGATAAATGGGGCGATTGGATATTCATTGAACCAAGAAATGGTTTAATACACGAGTGTGAATGGGTGATGATTGAGGAGAAGGCTCAGGTTTCCTTAGAATGGGAGAAATCTTTTTCATATTCAAAAAGAAGAAAATTGAGTGCTTTAAGTACATTTAGTATACCATGGGTTAGACCTGGTGCTGTTGGTAAAAAATCAAGACCTGTCAGTAAAGCAAGTACTAGATTTTCAATGGCCTCAACAATTAAAAGACCCGTACCTGCGATAATGGCAATGTTTGATAGATCAAGACCTGATGATCAAGTGTTTACCACAAATTACAAGTTTCCACCAAATGCAATTAAAAAATATAAAAAAGAAGAAAATGAGTCTGAGGAAATTAGCGTTTCACGCAGGATACACAATAATGATGATTCAATTGTTGTACAATTCGAAGCTACAAAAACCAAATATTCTCAAGTTCAATACACATATAAAGAAGGGGATTACAATGAAGAAAATGGTTATTATGATGATGAGTATTATGAAGATTATGATAATAATGTTGGTGGGTATATATCAGATCCTGAATATTATCACAATAACAGTAACAATAATAATAATAGTTATTATTATAATGACTATGAAGAACAAATGGGTTATGAAGAAGGTTATGAAGAACAAATGGGTTATGAAGAAGGCTACGAAGAACAAATGGGTTATGAAGAAGGCTACGAAGGCGGCTATGAAGAAGGTTATGGAAAAGAAAATTATAGTGAAGGTGATTGGGAGGGAGATGAATATGCATACTCATCAGCAAAAAATTCACAATACTCAGAAAATGATTATATTAATCAATATTCACAAAATGATATACCACAACTACCTTCAACTACAAAAGGATACAATAACTTTGCTCAAAGACAAATGATGAAACAAGGTGAATTAGTACCATCACAATATCAGCAACAACATCAACAGCCATTGTCGACTAGAAATAGCAACTATAATGATTATAATGATGATGGTGAAGGCGAAGGCGAAGATGAAGATGAAATCATTGTGGAAGAGAATGCTGATGACATGGAACCACAAATAGTTAATCCAAAATTATTCCCAATGACAGGATTTTATCAACCTTTAGAAACTAAAAATAAAAAAAGAATAAACAAAAAGACAAAATTTAAATTTTAAATTATAAATAATCACCACAAAAAAGGAGAGATTGATTTTAATAATAAACTTATACATTATTTTTTTATATTTTTTTCTCATTAAGCATACATGCATTCATATATACACACATTACGCATATACATATACATATACATATACATATACATATACATATATATATTAATACATGATTTATACTTTATCATAATAGTTAATTAATTATAATATAGTAGAATATTTATTAAAAGATATTGTAGGACAATATTCTTTTCATTAGTCAATAAATTTTTAAAAAATTTTTTTTAATGTTTTAACCTGTGTTAATTATTTTATTTATAACTTTGCAAAAATCATCTGCAAATTTTGTCTAATTTTTCTATGAAGGAATTGTTGCAATAGTTCAAGGAGAAGAAGCAATTGATGATTCGTTACTGAATATATGGTAACTAACTATCAATATTTTTTTACTTTAATAAACATTTTCCCACTCATTCTATTTTATTTTATTCCACTTCATTCTATGTAATTTTATTGGACGGAACAATGTAAAAAGTCATGTTATCTGTAATACTCCAAGAAGTATTTAATTAAACCATTAAAAAAATAATCTTTGAATAAACAACTAATAATATCATTAATTTTTGCATAGTTAAAGAGGGAGAGCCCTCACGAATTGTTCCCATGATCCTTTCTGATTATTAATGATCTGTACAACATTTAATTATTGGTTAGGAACCCTTTTGATTGTGCTGCGTTGCTTATGGGGAGCCTCAAGTGGCATAGTTGTATATAAGTCTGTAATTTATTCATAGCTAGCTTTATAGAGGTATATATTGGGTTTGGAGCCAGAACAATATATATATTTAGGGTAAAGTCAGATTGTATCTGACCGGGGGGGGAGGGCCTGAAGAATATAATAGGTCATTATATTGGGCTTGGAGCCAGAACAATATAATGTGGAAATGCTCAGAGGCTGGTAAATCTTTTGATGGTGATAATGGGACAAAACTTCTCTATGAACGAGGTATAAAGGCTTTGAAGATTATGAAAGGTATGTTCCAGTCTCTATGTTTAGCTGTTGGGATGGAAGAAGAAAATATAAGAAAATTGCAATCAATTGGTTTTATACATGTGGGTAGGTTTGGTGGAAGGATTTTTTTCACATTGTTTAGTTTATTAACTCATCCAATCATTCGCTGTGAAGGAAATTTAGGTCTGATGATACTGTTACTCAGATTGGATTCTCCCGCTGGCTATGTATGTCAAATACTTCGGACCAGGGTTGGCAAATTGACTGGTCCATTGAGACTAAATATAGTTGAAATGTTGCACTAATGGACCCAATGGACTACACATTTGCCAACTCTGAATCATAGTTTAACAGGAAATTTTATTGGTAAAAACGAATTTCAATGATGCAATTAATCAAACTTAATGATAGTAAATAATACGGTTTTTACACATTTACATTTTTATTATTCTTTTTCTTTTTAGATACAAATAATAAATGTATACAGTAATTTAGCATAGATTAAATTGCATCATTCATAAAGTATTGCTTATGAGCATATAGACTTTGATTCATGTTGATGATATTAGCTGGCTAAGGAGTATTTTGCAAATTGCATATTTCTTTGATTGATGCAATAGTCTATTTATTAGGTTTAAAATAAATGATCTTTGTATTTTTTTTTTTTAATAATAGATAAATTCTCTTCCCGAAATTCACGTGACAAAAGATCTGCAATATAAGGGAAATTTTTCGATTCATAAACTTTTATGTGTGTAACACGTCATTTTAGGGCTTAACATAGTAAATTCAGTAAACCTGTGCAACTTTGAAGCTCAAATTCTCCACAACAACATGATATATCAATGAGATGAAATCGTGATTTTGTAGAGGAAGGTCTTGGCTTCAAATACACGATTTATTTTGGAGAATTTGAAAATCTACACGACCAATAAAAAGTTGTGGACTAAGTGACTTACGAAAAACTATATATATATTAACATAACAATGGTTTTCTGAACCGAATTTTAGGAAATCTGGAAATAATGTAATTGATCATTTATTCAACAATATCAAATGGGATCGATCATCTTTGTTAACTCATATTTTAGAATGGATACCTTTTGAACAATTTGAAGATATAACAAAATTAGCTGAACTTCAATTTATACTGCTTGATGGACAAGATGTCATATGATTGATTATGATGAAAATAACAAGGAATTTAGTTGTTTAGAAGCACAAAGAGTAATATTAAAAAGTTTAAATAATTCAATGAATCCAGGAAAGGGCTTTTTTGATGAGATTGGTGGTTGTCATTTGAAATAAAAATAAGCAATTTTGTATTATATAATAATAATTGATTTTATATTTATTTTCAGACAATGAATTATTGTAAAATTAAATCAGGAACAATTGTTTCTTGCCATGGTATAACTAAGTTCCCAGATAATGGAAATTATGCAATAGTTTTAAATTATTATAGAGAAGGAAATTTAAGGGATTGCTTCCAAAAAAATCATTTACATTTAACATTAAAAGACAGAATTATAATATTTAGATATTTATATGGTGCGTTACATCAAATACATTGAAAAAATTTAACCATTGTGATTTACATAGTGGTAATATATTAATAAGTGGAGGTGGTTGTTATATTACAGATTTGGGATTATGTGAATTGGTTGATGAAAAATCATCAAATAAAATCTATGGGATCATATCATATGTTGCACCCGAGCTACTCAGAGGCAAAATTAATACAAAGAACACAAAGGCAACAAATATTATAGTGCTGGGATGTTAATGTGGGAAATATTTGCAGGTCATCCACCATTTGATGATAGAGCTCATAATCATTGTTTAATTTTTGATATATGTGAAGGCTTACGACCACCAGCATTACCTGAAATGCCTGATGATCACGCACAAATGATGAAAAAGTGTTGGGATGCAGATCCATCTGAAAGACCAACTAGCAAAGAGCTTGTTTTTTTTCGCTAATAAAAAGTTGAAAGGAACTTGTACAACCAAAAGTTTGAAAAATGATAGTAACAATAATAGCTTAATAAAAAGATTATTAAAATTTTCTAAATTTTAATAATGATGTTAGCAGCAGCAACAGCAGCAATTGGTGGTAGTGGTGATTCGCAACAAGTACACAAATCACATTCAGATGCATATCATATTAGATAAAGAGATTGCTAAATCAAAAAGCTTAAAAAGCTATACAAGTAATGATAGTTCATTGAATAATCTTGATTTTAACTCTTTTTCTAAAATGTTAACAAAGGTAAATTAAGTTTTTCATTAATTGAAGTTTATTAACTACTAATAAGATTATTTATGATTCACTTAATAATAATAGTAATAAAAACCATCTTGCATAAGCTGAATTGATAAAACCGATTCTATTTTTGTGTTTCCCAAAAGTTCGACTTACTCGAGGTTTAAAAATCAAAAGATTGCCCTTATAAAGAATCTACAGTTTATTTTAATTATTTATTTACAGGTTATATATCACATCATTAAACCGCCATCTTCTTTCTATTACAACTTGAATTTTGAAAACTACCATTACTAAACAACTGTTGCTGGTACTTAGTGCTATATCTCAAGATTTATTTTTTATTTACATTCTATTAATAATAATTCTTAATAATTTTTGACGTATAATACAAAAAAAAAGTTTTTTATTAATTAATAATGCAAATATATATATACATATACATATACATATAAATATAAATATACATATATATATACATATATAAATATATTAATTTATTAATTTAACGTGACTGACAATTTAGTATAAAAAATACGTGTAATATAATTAATGTGCAGTGAATTCTACTTCTTGAAAAGTAAACCCTTCTTCAAAGGCAGTAGATAGATCTGGGTAATCATCTGAAAAAAACTCCATGCAATGATGAAATATCCTAAATCCAATCTCTCGAATAAAATTATTTTTACTAGTAAATTTTTTTGATGTTTTTCTTTTTTCTAGGTCATAGTTTTCCAACATTTTTTTGGTAATATCACGTTCACTGAAATTTTCCTCTTTTTTATAATATTTGTGATATACAAGTAATCGTTGAATTTTCACTGATTTTGACATATCTTTTGTAAGAAGGCCTTCTTTCTCTGTAAATTTAAAATAATTTTTAAAATCTTTAGGTTTCCAATCTTTAACACAATCTTCAATGTTATCCATAATAGGTATTTCAGAATTTGATTGTATCGGGTCTTCTTTGGAACACATCAATGACAATTTTGTAGAAAAATCAGATTTCTTTTTTTTTGAATGAATAAGTTATTATTACCAAGTAATTAATTTTAAAAATGAAATAATAATTATTCTTAAAAAATATATATTTTAACCTACCAACAACACTTCAATCAATATATCAGGTTTTGTATATTTTACAAAAGAATAAATCAATATGGAAAGTCGAATTCGTAATTGTATGTCTGATGTGTTGACAAAGCACCTTAATAGTATGGGTAATATTAACGCGGCAAATAATTTTTGAGCTTTAATGAATTTATTATCTTGAAGTTTACTGTTTGTCCAATAATCACCAAATTGATCAACAGTTTCTTTCTCATCTTTCTCATCTTTCTCATCTTTCTCATCTACTATTTTTAAATGTTGAAATAGACACACACATATATATATATGAAATGTGTACAGCATGAATATAAAAAAAATTTTTTTAAATCAATTAAATAAATACCTTCAGTTACTAGATCCATGGTAGTTGCACTACATGTATCAAGAATACTAGCTGTATCCTCAACATAAGATGATGCTAAAAACAAATACGTAATATGCATATTTAATAACAACAATAATAACAATAATCTAGATAAAATGATGACAACTAACTTTCTGTCATATTGTCTACTTCCATTCTTATACGTTTATAATCTATTCATTTTTTTAAATATATAAAAATTAACTGGTTATGTTTTGAAAATCGCTTCATTAAAAAAATACATCTTTTATTTAAAACAACAATAATGACAATACCAGTTGGAGGGTCAATTTCCATAGTTATCAATGGCGACGGCTCAACATCAAATATATTCTTCTCTTCAACTACATCTTTAGCTTGATGATTTCAAGTTCAAAAATTCAAAAATTTATTTAATAAAATATTTTACATACACAAACGTAAAAAATATTTAAATTAACTAACCAGTCGTCTTTGATTTCGTAGAATTTTCGGGAGTTAGTGTTTGAAGTTCTAAATAATATGTTGTATCTATTATTCCTTTTTAAATTATATTGGCATAAATTGTTAACGTGGTATTTTTTTAAAAAACAATAGAAATAATATTTATACAAGATTAAAAAAATAATGTGTACGCAAAATACCTACATACCAACCATATTAAAACCAAATGGGTTGGAGATTTTTCTATTAGTCAAAAAAATTGTTGTATTTAATTAAAAAAAAAATATAAATAAAAAATACCAAAGGATTCATGCTTATACTCGGGAAATAAATTCAACAGCAATCCAATGATTGTTGAATAAAAATTATCAACATGATTATAATAACAAAAATTTTCTCCAATATATTTTACAATTTTTTCAATCATCACACTTAATGACAATTGATCTCCATCTCCGCCAATGATTTCATTAACATCTTTATTAATTATTGAAATAAATATGGCCTTTGAAATCTCATTGTCAAAAATTTCTTTCATAGTTTCAGGCAATTTAGTTGCTATATTTGTCAATAAATAAAACCCTATTAATTGATCTTCCTTACTGTAAATATTATTTAATAGAGATATGAAAAATCATGGTTGTAGTTAATTGATTATGTTTAACAATAATAACTAATAATCAAATAAATTTAATGAATAATTTGCATGATGCATACCTCATAATCCCGAAGCTACTTATATATGGCTTAATTATATGTTCTTGTGAAAAAAGCTATTAACATATACGTAAAATTTATTTTTGTGAGTAATGCAAATCTATACAGATAATTTAACTAATTCATACATTATATATTATTATTCTTACCAAAGAAATTTTAGGTAAATTTTCCTCAAGATCATAAATAACCATATAGGTGATACAGATACTAGCCTGATGTAAAACGATATCCTTTTCATTATTTGAAAAAATTGCCACGAATCCATCGTTATTTATGGTCAAATCTCTCAGTATATCAATACTATCCTTGGGAAGGTTTATAGAGTTTCTGCAACAATTTGCCATTAGCCAAATTGGTAATGCTCGATCATTGTCAGACATAAATTCAAATATATTTTCCATTAAATGTCGAATGATATCTGTTTGTAAAATCAATTCAATACAATCAACTCTATTTGGTATAGAAAATTGTATTAAAGCCTATAAAAACAATAGTATATATATATATAAATATACACATATATAAATACTTGAGCAAAAAAACTTTTTTGATGAAATATATAATCAATTCAACTAGAAATTACAATATACCGCTATGATATCATTTAGATAATCCAAATCATTTGATAAAGGCTCTTTGATTAATTGACATAAATTTGGAATGGCAACTTCTCTCACTGCATTACCGATATATTGTTCAGCATTATTATCCAAGAGAATTGTCAAATTGCACATACATTTACATGCTATTGTTATTCTTTTTATGTGAGAATTATCAGGATCTGCTATTCCAAGTATTGCTTGTAAAGTCGCAATATCAATTTCTGTGCCATAGGCTGACAAGTCTGATAGTTGGGGAGGCGGAGTTCTTCTAGTCAATATTGTAGCAAGTTTACGAATAATTAAATTGTAATTCCATCCTTCAATCAAAGATATATCAGGATTTGCCAAAAAATTTGAAAATCTAGTTAATGTGTCTGTTTGTACATCCACATTGTTAGTGATTTTTGAGACTATTGATTTAATTTCTCTAAGAGTGGGAGTATTTCTTGGAGAATCGCCATTGTTATCTGTGTTAAAACGCATGTTTAATAATGGCATCGGTCGACGCATAAAAGGTAGTGGAATTTCATCTCGACTTTCAGTATTATCTCTACTGCTAGACATCTTGTTTAAAAAAATAGTTTGTATGTGTTAAAAATTAATTCTTAATCTTTTGATCAGGAAAATGTTGCACTAGTACATATAAATTTGTAATAACTGAGAGTACACAAAAATATGTGTTCATTACAAAAATGGAATTAGCGATATGGCTTTAAATTGGTTGCGCCACTAAGCATTTTACATTAAAAATTAGCAGTACTGCTATTATTATTGCAGAATCAATTTGCATTTTATTATTACACACTATATATATACATATTTAAATGCGCACGCATATGGGTCACATTTCATAGCCCATAAATTTTTCTTTCAATAATCTCTCCACTCTTGATACCTAAAAAAAGAAAAATACAATAAGTTTTTTAAATAATGATAATGATGACGATGACGATGGTGGTGATGATGGTGATGGTGAGAATATAACACATTGAAAAATAGATTTATACTCAACGAATTGAGGAAATTCACGATCTTTTAATATATCACCAATCCATTCTTTTAGTTGGTCATCATCAATCGTTAAAGAGTTGTCAACATTTGTCCTCGAGTGAGATAGAAGATGAGGAATTGTTGATGTTAATTTTTCTTGATGAGAAGAAATTTGTTCGTGCTGTTTTTGAAAATCTTGATTTGTTGTTCTGGTCCTTGAATTTCCAAGTAAGGTTTTATCTTGTTCTGTCACGCCTGATTTAAAGCCAAGAAAAAGGTCACCATCATATTTTTCTTCGTAACCCTTTTCTTCTTGTTCTTTTGCTAGTTCATTAATTGAAGTAGTGGATTGTGCCCGGAAAAATTTTGAGGGGGTGATTGGCTCTTGTTTCATTTTATGACTTGCATCATCTGATTCAGCTGGTGATATCAATTTGAGATTTGAAACAGGTAAGTTTTTTTGTGAGATATTTGAATAGTGATAATCGTATGGCGAACGGGTATGTTCTGTTTCCTGGTAATACATGAATTTCATATTATCATTGCGAACTAGACAAACACTATTGTCTGATGGGATAAATGGTGTATCATTATCATCACGTATTTTTTGAGAAATTTTTTTTACATAATGAGACGCAGTAGGGTAATCCTGATGTTGTTGATGTTGTAAGTATTGGATTGGTTGTTGTTTTTGTTGTTCTAGATTATCAATAGACTGATTCCTTAATAAAATTTCTTTTAAAGGTGTTCTAGTCATCATATTTTGTTGTGAGTTTTGGTAATTATTTGAATCATTGATTGGTGTTGATATGACTCTTGTGTTCCTAGTTATTGACAATTCATGATTTTTTATAGGATTTTCGTGAACCTCGCTTGGTTCTAGGGTTGATCTATGTTGTGGTGATGATGACGATGGTGGTGGTATTGGAAATAATGTATGTGGTAGAAATGATGGAGGTAAAAAACATTGTGGCCTTGACGGTTGTTGTAGTAATGGAGATCTTTTATTATGTATTGGCAATTGTGGATTGTTTTTATTGTTATTATTAAAATCTTGAGGTGAAGTTTCTCCAAGTTTTCGTGAATCGTTTGAAAATGAAGAAGGCATTGAATTATCGTTTTTAAGTCTTTTATTATTGTTGTTAATATTCATCCTATTTGAAAATTGAACCAAATCATTTCCAAGTATTGGTTGACAACTAATATAACGACCAAGTATTCTCGAACACAAATCAAAATCTTGGCTATTTTTAAACCTTATTTGAAATTTACGTATTTCTAATACATTGTTATTGTTCGTGTTTGTGTTTGAGTGTGTATAATAATGATTATATCTAATTCCAATTGTTGGACTTTTTAATAAAGCCTTCGCTTTTATAGAATTCACATTCTGATAAGAAAAATTTAAACATTCCTAGAAATATAATATTTGCAAATTGTAATTTTGTGAAATATACAATATTAATATTAATATTAATATTTACATACGCACCAACACGTTGTTTTTATCATGTATAACTTTTAACATTGGATGAGTATCTTCTTTATTATTATTATTATTATCGGCAATATTTGTGTTGTTGATGCTAGTTGAATACATATTTATTAAGAAAACATTAATATTTTCTTGTTGAAAATGCAACCAACCAGCTTTCTGTTGTTCATTTGTCAAAGAATTTTTATTATCACCAATAGTAGTGGTGATGGTATTATTAGCAAATATTGAAGAGTATTGTCTCGAGTATTTTTCTATTTCGAATTGTAATGGACTTTGGGACATTTTTTTTTTTTAAAAAATTTAAAAAAGATCCATCAACGCAGATCAGGCTGAAAGCAACCTTTTTGTTTGATTCTTAGAAAATTGGCTGTTGTTAAAATTATCAAATATCAGAATATTGGGATATTACAATTATTCTAATATCCCTTGGTCAAAGAAAAGTCAATCTGCTTCGATCTCTAAAATGCAATGCAAATATAAATGGGAATCTTTCGATTTTTTTTTTTTCGAAATTCCCAAATTGCCCATCCTCATTGAAAATATAATCATTTTTTTAAAAAAATAAAAACAAAATCTATATATATTTTTATTTTTTTTTGTAATAAATAAATAAAATAATGAATTTATGAATTTATGAAGAAGTATCATTAATAAATTGAAGAATTTGTAATTTAGTAATTTCCACTAAATCACTGCCACCATTAGAAAGAGCTTCCAAAATCCATCCAGAAGCAGAACCGAGAGATTTTATCAAGAAAACAATACAAACTACTGCAAATACAACTCCAAATACAGCTCCAAGGAAAAGACCAAAAAAACTTCCAAAGATTGATAAAATAAATGGTGTACAAATACCACCAATTGCTGCCAGCATAGCAAAGACTACAGGTATAATGAACAAAGATACGAACGCGCCGACTACCAATGTGCAAAGATAAAAGTAATGCAAGACTGGATGGTCGTCTCGTAAATCTTTAGGATTCATAATGTAAAACGTAAAATTTTTTATACTGTCACCATTTGAATTCATTGTCGCCACTCTTCTATTAATGCTATCTTGAAATGAGAATTTGTTGCCGGTATTTTGATTAAACCTATGAGGACTTGGTATTAATTCTTTAAAAAAAAAAATTTTTTTTTAAAATTAATTTTATAAAAAAAAATATAAAAACGGCAGAATAAATAAAGTACCATTGGCAATTTGTTCATTATTATTAATAAGTTTGTTTATAGTTGTTGACGATGCATTAATTGTGGTCGCCATGATAAATTAATTCTGTTGATATATATTATTTTTTTTTTTTTTTTTTTAAAAAAAAAAAAAGTTTAAAAAACTCGAGAAATTAAAATTTAAAATTATTTATATACAATTTTTATCTTGTGAATAGCACATGTTAAAAAATATATATAGAAAGGATACAGTTATAATAAGGGAATTTGGGAAGTATCGTGAAAAAAGCAATTTTGAGTTAATATGACGCAGATCATTTATTAAAAAGAAGCACGTTATTTATTTACATATTAATATAGTAAATTAATTTTTTCACGAATTAAGTTAAAAAAAAAACTTCTGCTAAAACTAATTTCTGATCATTATCTATTAATCGTTCATCCACCATTCATTGCCTTAAGTTGGGTCATTAAAAATATGTCTTGTTCAGACTTGAAAAGAGCTTGAAATGATTCCCTTAATTCTGCAAATTGTTCCTTGGGAATTCTTGAAGAACAACCACAATTACACCCTTTTTCTAAAAAATCAATTGCTCTTTGATATTCATTAGAGCCATTGTATTTGTTATTTTCATTATTACTTTTCATATATACACTTATCTCTATATATATAATTTTATGTTCACTTTGTGGGTTTTTATAATTAATTTAAAAATTGAAGGAAAGTATATGAATGGAATTAAACTTAGATGAACCAATGGAATAGTTTTAGGTAAATGATTTAAAAGATATGATTGTTCAGTAACTTGTGAAGAGAAATTGGAAAATTTGGTCAACCTCTCCATGAAAAATAATTATGGCCTAGATTTAAATTGGCTTATCATCATTAATAAATCAAATGAGAAAAGAAACAAACAATAAATGAAATAATAACTACCTTTACCAATGAAATTTTCCACACATTGTTGATCATAAACAGAAATTGCTGTAACAAATCATGTGTAATGATTCATATTTTGTTTACTTTTTATAGACATAAAATTTACTTAATTTATTTGAGATTATTTATTATTACGTTCAAAATATCTTGAATAGATTATAACAATAAGATTAATTATAGTTTATTTATATTTTTATTATTTATATATTTTTAACATAAAAAGAATTATCCTCTAAGAAATAAAGGCAATTTGTATTTTTACAATAATTAAAGTACCTGTTCAAAAATACTTATAATTTATCTTGTTGAAAAGTAACTCTTACAATTGTAGAAAAATTATATTTTACAAAATAATCAATTTTTGAAACTTAACAATTAATTATATATAATGATTATTACATTAAGGTAAATGACTTTATTTGTAAAATGCTACCTACAAGAACAAAGAAAGATGTGACTCTAAAAAATTTTAAATTATGTACAAACCTATCCCCTTCAATAAGGTAATGTATTCAAATAATTGCTTGATTGACCTTGAAATATGTAATAATGTGATTGGTCCAGCCTTGGATTCCATGTAATCACTCTGGCAATTTTTTATCTTTAATAAAACAAACATGACTTAGCTATTTAATCATTTCCTTGTATCTAAATGCCTCCATCCATCAAATATTCATGATGGTCATGATTATTATGCAATACATTTGATATTATAATTGACATAACAAACAATTGCATTACCCAGGTAATAATGATACCAAGGCCATGCTGAAATGAAACTCTTAACAATGCGTGTCTGCCCAGATCTCTGGGGTTCACAAGAATAAATAAATAAATAGGGAGGATCAAAAAAATATTATAGTCCCTTTAAATGTAATAAATCTGATGTTGATCACATGTATCAGATTTAATTAAATTTCCCATCACAAACATGTCAACAGGTGCTTTCACACGCCTTATAACTGTGAAATTCATTCTACAGGTAAGGTGAAAACATGCTGGAAGGCTTTGGACAAAACTTCCCACATCTTCCCCACAGACCAGCCTTGACTGTTACCATATGAGCATTGATTGCTGACAAGAGTTGGCACTGTATGATGATTGCTTTGTGTTATTCCAACCTGTAAAATAAAATTGGTGTCTGCAACTGGTATGAAATTCTGCAACTCAGGAGGTTGCAACCTGGGTTGCTGTTTGGATTTTCCCTGAATCCAGAGTTTTGAGTCCTGGGTTACTGTTTTGTTGTGGCACACCTACTCACCAACAACCCTACCCCCATTTAAATAACAAATTCACTTGGTCAAATAAAAATTAAAGAAACAGAAAATTTATGGGAATGATTAATTTATACAAAACATACCAAACAAAATCTGATCCATTTTATTTTACAGCTTTCCTCCTAACATCAGAGCCCAAATGCAATTTCAGGGCCACCAACCCTGCTCTGAATTGTAACCTCCTGTGCTTGAAATGAGCTTCAGATCCTCTTAATATTCCTCCAGAGTTGTGATAGCTTGGACACAGATCCATCCTTAGAGGCAGGATCGTTGCAGGCAACTTGTCAGCAAACTTGTCAGCCTTCTCTGGTCTGGTGCTGTGAGGGAAGATGAGGTAGGATGTCATTGACGATTGATGCAATCTCGATAGACTCCAGGGCTATACTACCCCTCCCTGGAATTCTGTTGCATCAATGTATCATCAGGGGATGAAGTCAAGATTAGCCTTGTGTACACATGAGGAATGTAAGAGAATGACTGTAAAGTTCAAGGTAGCGTGCTTTCAACATCTGCTAATTTCAGATAATCAAACATCATGTATCAAAAAGTTTCATAATTGAATGTTCATATTCAATGGTGTGCTGCCTTGACATCTTGTAATTAATTATAATAATAATAATAATAGTATTAATGTTGATTACAAAAAGCCAAATACCAATCATTTGTTTACCATCTTGATAATTACCCAGCAAGTTCTGCTCTGTGTTTTGATTTTAAAAGACATATCAATGCAAATAAAAAAAAAGTTACCTCTGGTTAGTTATAAACACATTTCTTTTTAGAACCAATCATGCTAAACAAAAAAAAAAATCAATTGCATCAACACAAAAAAAAAAAAAAAAACAGGAGTTCCATAAAATAATTCCCTGTTTCACTATGTAATAAATTCAAAAATTCCAATTCTTTTGTATGTACGCATTATATTGAATTTATACATAATCATAAAATAAAATTTATTTAATATATTGGAAGAGGAATATTGAGAATGAGTATTTAGAATATTTATTTAATATATTGTGTATTAACATTAGTACGTTGCGCATGAATTTACACACATAATGTCAAATAGAATTGCCATTTATTTATAAAATATACAATACAGCATTGATGAATATATAAACACATTATTACAAAGCATTGTTATAATTTATATTGACGATATTTGACATAGAATCATCGTCATTTAAATTTTCTTCAATAAATAACTCATCACTACCAGACTTTTTTTTGGTTGGAAGTTTGAAAGGTTTCTTTAAAACATCATTATTTATTTTTATGAACCTAAGGTTTTCCTTATAGATGGGTGATTATCAATTTCTTTTAAAGGTTTACCTTGACTGTTTGAAAAAAATTTTCAATTTAAATAAAAAAGTTACAAATGATAAGAAATAAATTATGAACCAACACAAATAGAATTGAAAGATTAACTTAATGACAATAAAGAACAAATTAATGAGTGATGGAGTCATAGATGTGATTTTATTTTATTCATTGCCAGTATAGACTGGTCTTGGGCAAGTGATGCCTTTAAACTCATTCTTTACAAATGGGTGAATATTATTATAAAGGTATTCTTGTCTTTTGTAATCCAAAGGAGGTGGTGTAAATACTAAAATAGGTAAAGATTTAATCTCTTCAAAAATATCTGCTTTCATAGTTTTTGATAAATTGAATTCAGTCAAAGATCCATTAACAACCTCTTGAATTTTAACAACACCAAGATTAGATGCTTCAAAAAGAAAATGTTGATATTTCTGTATATTTGGCAATTTCTTAAAATAAATTCCAAAAATAGATTTGATATCCAAATATTGAAAACCTTTTCCACCTTTATAACATTGAACTTTATTCAATCCTGCTGGACTAGACTTTTTTACTACCTCAATCACATGATC